TCAAAGTGATTTTTCTTTCTGAAAAATATATAGTATCGCATGAGTACAATTAAGTTCATTTTTAGTAATATCTTACAGTGCCATACCCAAACAGAGCATCGGTTACCTCTCGCATGTACTTGTGATGTGTGTTATCAGTGTTTCACAAGTACACGGGACCTACAGTTTATCGCCGAATCCGAACGGCACTATTTGAGAGGCTGTACTCAAGGTGGTTTGCCATTACCTTCCTTGAGGTTGCGGCTCTATGGTCTCTCTATTTAGATAAATAAATATTTTATATACAGGGTGGTCCGAACTGTATCCGGAAACTTTGGCAGCATATTTTGCAGATTAAAATAAGTAAAAAGATCGTATAAATGTATGTCCTAAAATGCTTAGTTTCGGAGATACAGGGTGTAGAAATAGTCAGTACCTGTCTAACTATGTACCTGTAACTATTTAGTCAGCATGTTTACTTTATGTCAATCATGACAAGTATTGATAATTTCAATTCCAAATATCTCGAGAACCATTACTCGTAGAGATTTTTAACAAGAGACCTTTTTTATGTGAAAAAAGTCGTAAATGTATATTTTTTTACTCAGTAGTTTTATACATGTATGGACGAAAAGTTATTACTCCTCAAACCAGTTAAAACATATGTAGGTGACGCCCTCTACAAGTAGGAGTCATATAACTACAAGTACAAGTATAACTACAAGTAGGAGTCATATTAACATGAAAATCAAATTTCTCATGTCAAAAAAGTCCCAGACATCAATTTTCATCCAAATATTGATGTTACTTCATAAATTATTTGGAAAAAATCGAAATAAAAAGGAAAGTTCTACACCCTGTACCTTCGAAACTAAGCATTTTAAGACATGCATTTATATGAACTTTTTTACTTATTATAATCTGCAGAATATGCTGCAGAAGTTTCCGGAATATAGTTCGGACCACCCTGTATATATATAAAACCGGGTTCATAGCGTCCTACGCCTTTCGGTACCCTGTGCCAGCTTTTCCTATTCTCCCAATCCCCTGGACGAAGGTTTCTCCCCGATATAGTTTTATGTATTTCTCCGATCCACGCTGCCTTTGGCCTTTTTCTCCTTTCTGAAGGTATCCATTTCAAGACTTTCTTCGGTATTCGGTACTCACTCATTCTTTCTACATGCCCATACCATACCAGCTGTCTTCTCTCTATTTCATCTATTATGGTTTGCTGGACATGCATACTTTCCCTTATCTTTTTATTCGGTACTCTTTCTATTCTTGATATTCTCGCAGACCTTCGCCAGAAGTGCATCTCGAGTGCTAATATTTGTTCCATTCAATTAGTGAGCTGCCATGTTTCACATCCATATAAAACTATACTTTTAAAGATGGAATTATAAATAGCATATTTTTCTCATATGAAATGTGTTTGAACCATAATACTGAATTTAGGCACCCGATGACTTTTTTACCTTTTAGTATTCTTTCCTCGATCTCGCTCTCTGTACGCCCGGTATAATCTATCTGGGTTCCAAAATAGGTGTATTCATTGCATGACCCTATATCTATATTTCCATCCAGATGTAAAGTTTCTGCTGTTTGGTCTATACATAAGTACTTAGTCTTCGACGTATTTACCGATACCCCCACTTTTCATACTCGTTTAAAAGTCTTGTTGTCATAAATTGTAGGTCTTCCTTATCTTGAGCTACTACCAGTTGATCATCTGCAAAATGAAGGTTGTATACAGTTGTTTCGTCATTAAGTGGTATTCCCACATTCCTCTGCACGATCTTCTCCATTTTTCTAGAACTTCATTCAGATAGATCTTAATTAACATCGGGGATAGGCAGCAACCTTCTTAGGCAAGCCCTTAGTTACAGGAAAACCCACAGATAGCGCCGTACCAAGTTTTATTCTTGATGTTGCCTCATTATATAGCTGTTTAACTGCTTCTATCGCTGTGTTGTTTATAGAGGATTTTTCGAAAAATTTACAGAGCTTTTGGATCGGAACGGTGTCATATGCTTTTGTAAGGTCAACAAAGAGCAGATGTACCTCTCTATTGGTTGCCACTTTTTTTTCATTTATATGGACCAGAATGACTATATGTCTATACACGATCGTCCCGTACGGAACCCTGCCTGTTCTACCTCATACGGTGCATACTCCCTTTCAATTATATTTCGCAGTATCTTTCCATATAGTCTACTCATAGTACTTGTGACCGAGATGCATCATTGGTACATTCATCTCTTTTTCCCTTTTTGTGGATGGGTGTTATCCACGTTTCTTTCCAAGTTAGTGATATTGGCTCACCATTTATATATCTTGACATTAGTTCTTTCAAATGCAGTATTAATTTATATGGTCCGTTTTTTAATAATTATGTCCTGACGCTTTTTTATTTTTCACCGATTTTAGTGCTTTTTGTTGTCATCCTCGTCGATGGTTATGTATTCTCCTTGCAATGTTTAGGGGAGTATAAAATATATTTTTCTCTGTCTTCTTTTAGTTCTTTTGAATAATGTTCTTTCCATTGTTCTATAGGTATCGACTGTATATTTGTGTTGTGAGATGTTTGAATCTCTGCACATGGCTGCACGTGAAGCTCTTGGTATTAAACACGAATTTACACAAAAAAATAACAATCTGACGTGGAATACCGAGTCAGATAAACAGAAGACTCATAAACAACAAGCATATAATAAATGGCTGAGCACAAAGAAAAATGATGACCAACTAGCCTACAAAATAGAACAAAATATATATAAAAACATGATCGCTAACAACAAAAACGAGACATGGGATAGGAAATGTAAAGAAGTTGACTGCTATATAGGTGGAACGAGGTCGTCTGAAGCCTGGAATCTGATTCCAACCAAACCAAACGTTAAGTAAACCAATATTTTTATTTAAATAAATAAAGCGACCGTACTGGTTGAGGAACGAACCTAGTACCATCCCATTTTTCGCACCGCAGATCGACACACTACGGCCGGCCACTTTACAATGTAATATAAGTAAATATAAATAATTTAGTAATATAATTTTAGAAAAGAAACGAATATACAAAATAAACAAAAAATAAACAAAATAATTAATGGGCATGTTATTTTCCCGAAACTTCATGTATTTATTAAAAGTTTATAATACGGGGATCATCTTACCGCCACATTATTTACCGAATTGTAGAATTTTCGAAATAAATCCTTTCTTCCTTCATATTACTCGGAATAATATCAAATTCCAACTTTAAAAGGAAAAGTTTTCGAGGGATTGAATGGCAAAGTTATTGCCAGATTCGAATATAAGGAAATTTAATTGTTTTGAAAGTTGGTATAAGTATTGAAGAAGTATCTGAGCAATTTCTGAAAAAAAATCTGGATGTTAAAATATTTAACAAGGAAATTTTAAACTTATAATGGGATAAAATCGTTTATTTAAATAAATTATTAACTTATAAACTCGATGTTTTTAAATTTCAAGCATAATAAAATTTCTTTTTTAAAAATATACACTAAACATTTTTAAAATAAGGTATTTCATTTTATCTGCTTAAAACCGTTTTAAGTAAGGTATAAAATGACTTAGCCTAATGAATAAAAAATAATAAAATGAAGAATGTTAGAATAACTTAATAAAACTACTACATTTATTAGAAAATATATCAAGATTAATAAAAGTTTAATCTCAATAGTAATTTTTAATATTTTTTGTAAAAATATATAATTATTTTTGTACCAGCCCCCCCCCCCATAATATTGCTCATTGCAGCGAAGGCTCCTGGAATATTTTAGATGCGAATTATAAAAATTTATAATTTTTGAAATAGACACATTAGATTACATTCGTTTTTTTGAGGTGGCGCTACGACCTTTTCAGATCCACCAATTCTTCTGTTCATATAGCTCTTTGTCAATGACTTTTCATTATCTAATACAAGGAGCCGTACATTCTTCTTTATCTCTTCTTCATAAAAATGAAAATATCTAAGAAAATCTTTGTATAAGGGGTAACTTATAGTATTTTGAAGAAACATGAAATCTTTATTGAATATCGCAAAAATATTGGTTTCGCAAAAAATATAGTGTTCCATTTCAAATAAAAGTGACCATTGTTCAATATTAATTTTGTTTCTTCGTATGTAACTTTTCGGCTCAAGTTTTAATTTTATTAAAGTAAGTAAAATGATTATTTTAACTACATATTAGCGTTGATTGAAGAAATATGGGCGCTATCCTGTGACAAAACATGTCCGAGATGTAGCTGGCGTTACCGTTACATGTCTGAGATTAAGTATAGCTCTGCGCCACCGCCGCCGCCGCTGCACACTAAAGTAAATAAATAAATGCCTTTATTGTCAAAAAATTTTTCAATTTGTAGACAAAGGTAAACTAAACAAACAAAGTTAACAAACAATGTACACAAACAAACAAAAGATAATACAAAACATTATAAAAATAATATTGTCAGTCTATTAGTTTAAAATAAACATTTATAAATGTTTACAATGTCTTCTTCTTCTTCTTCCTTCTTCATACTAGGCGAATCGCCTGTTTGGTTTCGTCGTCTCTACCGGTTAGACTGACAAGTTGTCGCTCCATCGTTTTCGTGGACGTCCTAAGCTTCTGCGACCTAGCGGTGATTTGTCGCGTGCAACTCTCACTATCCTTCTGTTGTCCATTCTGCTGATATGGTCGTTCCATTCTTCCTTTCCGCTGAGTACCCACTCATTTACATGATGGGATATCATCTTGCCCTGGGCTCTTCCTATTCTTTAGCTTTTGAAGAGATGTAATTATATCGGCTGCCTCAATCTGTACGTTGTCGTTGGTCATTATTTCGGGTGTATTTAGTTCAACCTCTATTTCTTCTGATTTGTATAGTTCTGACAAATAATCAATCCAGGATTCCCTTGCTATGTGATTTGTTTCAACTCACTCGTTAATCTCTTTTCTTTGCGTTCCTATAAAGCGCCAAATTTGTTTTTGAAGTCCGTAGAAGTCACTCTCCATTCATTTAGAGAAAATTTCCCAATGTTGGTTTTTTGTTTGTCTTACTAGTGCTGTTGTCTCGTTTCGGATTCGTCTATATGTTTCGAATGATTCTCGTGTGCGTAATGTTCTGTAGTTGAGGTATGCTATTTTTTTCTCTCTACATTTTTCTTTAATTTCTGGGCGGAACCACGGAGTTTTATTTATTTTGGTGCTATTATTTCTTTTTATAGTCCGGGTGCCTAAAGCTTCACATGCGGCCTCTTTGATGTTGTTCTTTAGTTTATCCCAGGAGGTATTTATGCTATCCTCTGCTTTTATTGGCTTTACTTGGATTTTCTCTGTCAGTCTTTTCTCATGTAGTTGTTTAATCGACAAGTCCCATAGCGATTCGATGTTTATCTTAACTTCTTGAGTTTCTTGTCGTAGTTTCTTATGAGGTTTAAATTTTAATTTGATTTTTGCAAGTAACAGACTGTGATCGCTTCCTACATCGGCTGAGTTCAGCGTCCTGATATCTAATATTTGAAGTGGATGTATATATCTGTTTGTAACAATATAGTCAATTGTAGATCTGTGGCCTCTAGTATTGCTAAATGTGAATTTGTGTTGCTCTTTATGGTCGTAGAATGTGTTGTTAATACGTAGTTCATTGAATGTGCATAAGTCGATCATAAGTTCTTCTCCATTGTCGTTCAGTACATTTTCATTAAACCTCTGCTTGATTCCAGGGATTATTTGATTTCCGATGCGGGCATTGAAATCTCCAAGAATTAATATTTGTTGATCGCTTGGCAATGATTGAATTGTATTTTGGAGTTGATCGTAGAATGACTCCCTTTCTTATTTTGGTTTATTGTCTTCAGGTGAGTAAACTGACACTATATTTAGTTTTTGATCTTCTGTTTCCATTCTTACGACCAAGATTCGCGAGGATACATAACTGCAGACCCGTATGTTTGATTGGTACTTTCTTGTTACTGCCATTGCTACTCCTTCTTCTGCCCTTGTTTGTTTTTCAACTCCGCTGTAGATCACTAGATAGTCATCGTATTGTAATTGACCTTCACCTTTCTTTTTCGTCTCCTGTAGGGCACATATATCGATTTTATTATCTTTAAGTTCTTTTAGGGTTTCTTGATCTTTGTTGTTAAATGATTTTATGTTCCAGGTGGCAAAGCGCAGTATACATTTCTTTTTCCAGGCGTTATCCTTTTTCTTGCAATGGCAAAGCGCAGTATACATTTCTTTTTCCAGGCGTTATCCTTTTTCTTGCAATACAATGTCAAAGAACAAAAAAATAAAAATAATATTCAAAAATATTTAGTTAGTTTATAGTAAATATCAATGACCTCTAAATAAATTTATTTCGATGTCATTAGTAAATATAGCAATAGCAAACATTAAGCTGCGTCCTCTCTGAGTCGACACTGTCGATCGACCATGTCTATCGACCTTGTTGATCAACAAGTCGACAAAACTGCATCTGTCCACACCAGATTGACAGAAATGTTTGTCGATCAGTCGAAATCAACATGTCTGACGAAGATGCTTCAAAAGCTAACCATTTACTTGCATACACATCCTCCGTACCAGTACCAGAATTCTTGCTCACCTTCATTTTTTTCACTTCTCTTGCAAATTGACTCTGAAGATTTTTTATTTTTTGATCTACCGCTTCGCTTGCTTATCGATGTCAAATTGATTAGCAATTTCCATAAGGGCATCGTGCCTCAACTTTCTGTTCTTATAGGTTTTGGTTTTAGAATCCCATAGATTCTTTTTCAGTTTGTATGCCTCAATAAAGGCTATGCCTTTATCTTTAGCTGCCATTCCATTTCTTCAACGAAAAAGCACGACTACGATGTCAACTAGCCAAGACGTCACTGTGTATAACAGTTTTTCGAATGTCGAACGTCGAAAACAGGTCCACACACTAATGTCGATCGACTGTTCTTTGATGTCTACCGACGCGCGACGGACGACGGAAAACAAATCGACATGTCGATCGATTAATTCTGTCGATCGACACCGTCGATTGCCACGTACACACCAAGTCGACAGCGTCGATATGTCTATGGGTCGATCGACAGTGTCGACTCAGTGAGGACGCAGCTTTAGACCATAGTGTTTACAGGATCACATTCGATTTTCAAAATATAATTCAATTACGGCGTAGAAAGCCTTGTCTAGTAAATAAGAGTTCAATGCTTTGCGAAATGAAAAAAATTATGTTATGGATTTGATTTCAAATGGTAGGTGATTGTGCATTTTTTTCGAGTTGTATAATATTGAACTTTTAACTAACTCTGAGCGTGGGGTAGGTAGATAAAGATCTTTCTCCGCGTTCCTGAGTGGATAAGTGTGAGATGGCCTTTCTTGAGAAGCTGATACATGTTTACGTATTAGGCAAACGGATTCAAATAAAATCAAATAAAATAGACGTTTGCAGCGCAGTAAATAAAGAATACTGTACCATAGTTCTACTTGCAGTCGGCAGAGAGTGTGGTTGCCGGAGACAGTGTTGCTGGAACTACGGATTAATCCGTAGATATAGGGATTCTGGGTACAGTACGTTGTAATATTATGGATTTTCTATTATTAAAAAAAATAATATAATATTGTATGATTAAACAATGAACGGCGTCAGAGTGGGCTTGAAAATGAAGTTCGCCGTGTTTTTTCATATAGAAAATATTATCGTAAGTGTCAACAGTCGTCATTTTTCATCGAAGAATTTTTATTTGTGTTGTTTGTTCTATATTTAATACGAATAAATTCAAATGAATACATAAACGCAAAGATATTTTCGTCAAGCGTATTACAGATATTACACATTTTAATATGAAAAACTGTCGCTTTCAGTTCCACATAGTCTTCGATATGTCTTTGCTAGCCCAATTAGAGATAATGAGGGTTTTATGCGCTGGCCTCAGAACGAGTAGAGGCTCCACCGTACAGCACTTGATACGTAAGGGAAAATCAAATCAATCTTGTCACGAATTTGCCCATTAGGTTGCGTATCTTCCCAATTCTTTCAATCACCGATATTGGGCTATACTAGATAAATTCCAATCTCGGTAGCTTTTATTGATATTTAAAATGTATTCTTTATTTTTAGAAAATGTTACAATATATAGGGTGTTTCGTTATAAAAACTACAACTTTAATGTGTAACTTCTTTGGGGACACCCTGTAAACCTCTATATATTTTTAAAAAAGCTTTATATTAAAATACACATGCTCACAAAATTTCATTATAAGGCCTTTATATTTGATATTTGTTAACTAAAGTAGATTTAATGATATATTATCAAAATTGGTTTATATTTAGTAATTTTCTAGCTATTTTATAGATTCCAGCATTTCTAATTAAGTGACTCTATGACTCTTAATCTAACATCTACATAAAGAGAAACACATTAAAAACTTAATTAAGGCGTTATATAACAAAGGTAAACTTGAAACGAAGATAATATTATATTAAAGATATAAATTTTGAAGTGGCTTTTTCTAATGGCGTTTTTAATGTATAATTCAACCACTTGAAAATATTGTTACGTTTATCGATGATGCTGACAAAGAGAAATTCAAAATTTGTTGTTCATAAGAAGGATTATGTTAATTTTTGTAAACAGCTTGGTTGCTTTCGGAATTTTTAGGTTAATAAGATTCGAGCGTATAAGAAGGAAAGAAGGAGCAATAATTGCAAAAAATTATTATAATGAAACGCAATCCCTTGCTTTCTAAAATTGGTTTAATAATTTTTTCGGGACGTAATTCTAAATTTAATGGTTGAAAAATATCAGGCCACACCACTTGAGGAAGAGGAAAAAAGAAGAAGCACTCATATATTTTGTAGCACTGAGGTTATATTAAAATGCTTTAAAAAAAATGTTTTGTCATAAATATAGGGCTATTTAATAATAAATATGTTTTCACTTACCAGCACAAAAAAATGGTAAAAAAGCAAGGAATTTGAAAATGATTTCATCTAGGCGCATATTTCCTCGATAATTTATTTTTTGGTTCAACTCAATAGCTTTATTTGTTTTTAGAGATATTCGCTTTTAAAAAAGACACATTTTTTCGTAGTTTTTTACATTAAAACCATGCTTTTGCTTTTGGTCTCATTCAACAGACCTATAAAATATTATTTATGTAATATCGAAAAATCATATAATTGTCTGTTGACTGTTGGGCAGTTATTCAGCAGAGATGGTGTTAAGTTCAGGAGTTGCATTCGGGTTTTAGTTGCTTTAATTGAAGATGATAGAGATCAAAATTATTTCGCTAACACATTTAACAAATCGACTAGATCTCAAATAAGTAGAAGAAGAGTCTTCTTCTACACACCTAATGTCTTTTAGGTGTGCACGAAGTACATTGCAATCGTTTAGTTAAAATCGAATGAAAACTAAAATAAATAATACATTGAGTACACAAGTATAAACACATTGAGTATATTGTGTAAACAAAATAATTAACAGGTGTAGATAAAACAACCACAAAACTTCAATGTGGCAATATCAATACTGACAATATTGCCATAACAATAACTCTGTACAAGGAAGAAACACACAATCGCGACGGAAAAAGTAAGAGAGCTTTAAAGAAAAACACACAAAATGTTCACACCCGAAAGCACCCTCAACACACTCAAAAAAAAACAAGAAAACCCATGCACCTTTATTTTTTTATTAATTTTTTTGTACATATTTAAAATGTTGCTATATATTACACTTTTATATATTACACATCCCAAACACCCACCATTTTTTTTATCTGCATATTAACTACTGGGAACTAACAATAATCATAATTAAATGTAGGTACATTTTTGATGATAATGCTTTTTATTTGTTTGGGTACAATTTTTTATGTTTAAAAACAGAATTTTCGCACACTCAGTATCCTTAACTTTTTTCGATCAGTTTAGTTACGTCTTTTCTCGATCGTTAATTTTTTGAGTTATTTCAATAGCTTTATTTTACTGGAGATATTAGCTTTTGAATAAGTCAATAACGATTTACAGCAATTTTAATATTGAAAGCATGCCTTTGCTTTTATTCATCAACGTATTTCTAAAAAGGTGGGTGTTTATTGTTTTTGTAATGTCACTGTCATTGAAAACTCATATTATTATTGTTTATTGGCGTTTTCTTTAGTAAAGATTGTTTTTTAAGTTCTGAAGTAGAAATAAACTTTTGGACTTAAAACTATCTCTGCTAGAGTCACTGCCCAACAGACAAAGAGTAACTGCCCAAAAGACAATAATAATAATATGATTTTTTCAAAGAGAGTCGCATTAGATAAATCATAAATATTATTTTATAGATGTTTACTAGGACCAAAAGCAAAGGTATGGTTTTAATGTAAAAAATACTAAAAAATGTTAGTGTTTTCTTCAGAAGCGAATATCTTCAAAAAAAACACGATTGAGATGAACCAAAAACAAACTATCTAGAAAAGATACTTCTAGATGATAGAAGGACTTTTAAATTCCTTGCTTTCTTAACGTACTCCACAGGGTGTTAAAAACTTTCACCAAAATATCAACAATTTGGTTTTCAGACGAGTGAATTGACAAATGGCAACTTTCTTTTTTAATTTAGAAAGAGATACTAAAAAGTCAAATAATTTAGCTACAAATTACTTAAAAATAACATAACCAA